AATTGGAGACTGACTTTCCAGTGCCCCAATTCCCTATCACCTATCCTCTTAAGTTTTCCTAAATCCTTCTTCTCTGACGCGCCATGAAATCTCTTAGGCTTTACGTGAAAGTGATAGACTGCACAAATACTACGCGGTCACCTGCAGTACTTACTCGCAGACCGACGACACCCCTTTGTACCTTTGATGTCAAAAGATATGTCGCCTGATGTGTTTACCTACAAATTATTCTTGCTCCCTGAAGTAGATCTTCTGGAGACGTGGCACGAGACTACGCAACAAATTACGAAATACTTGCACTTCTTGTCTCTTTGTATAAGAAGTACTGGTTTCAACATTAACTTTATTTTTTCCTTTCACTTTGAAGACGAGAGCAGTGGGAGAGGGAGGCCAGGTGTAATTATGTTTACTAGGGTTATGCATACTAACATACTTTTATAGAATTTTTATTTATGTTTACTAAAATAATATTTGCAATCAGGAATTGTAGATAGTGACACATGTAATAAGTTTGTAGAAAAATTTCAACTTGTTTTGAGAGTGGAGACGATAGGGTTAGACGTTAGGAGCTGATTTTTTGATTATTCGACCGCAACCTAAGGCTGCAGTCGAATAGTCCAAAAATCAGCTCCTAACGTCTAACCTCTATCCCTCCGGTTTTAAAAGTTGAACAAACCCCACACAGCTCAGTAAAGACTGAGAAATGTTGACTTTATTTGATAATTTCAGTAAAAACTAACGTTCATATTTCTCTTTTTGATTATAATACTGATGAACGTTCAAAACAAAGCACTTTGGCAACTTACCACATACGTTTTAAAATGCTTAATAAGCACCGTAACTTTCATGATATAATTTCTCGGTCATAATCGGTTGTTTCCGTGAGCGGCCGAATGTTGTGTGACGGCAAATGCTGCGGCTGCAAGGCATTGTGGGGCAGCATTTTCTCCTCTCCTTTCGGTGAGGGAGGTCCAGTGGTTCCTAAGCTAAAGGAGGTTATGAAGGAAGTTTGAAACCTCCTTTCCTATCATCTAGAGAATTCAAACAGCTCTCATCATGGCTGCCACTGAGGGACTTCCGGGTCATTTCACTCTAGGAAGGTTCCTAAGCTAAATGGACTATTCGACCGCAACCTTGGAAATTTGACTGCACAAACGGTTGTTTTAAAGACATTTAAACGACAAACACAATCGTTTGGATCGTCAAAGGGGGAAATAAGCATGTTTTAAACAGACAGCAGGAGAAAAAGGGGCAGAATAAATGAATGAAAAAGAAACCTCGTCACCTGAGTCTGAGTCTGAGTGAAGAATAGGAAAACGCTCATAAAAATAGGCTCTCTGACAATTCTTTACCTCTGAGACCCCGTGAAAGACAGACAGAAAGGGGCCGTACAGAGGAAGAGATGGATGAATGGGGTCAGAGAAGGTGAAAACAAAGGTCCAGACAATACAAGAGAAAGAAAGCATGATGAAACACGAAACACAAAGCCTATCATGAAATATATTCCCACATTGAAAACTGACCCCAGAGACAGAGGGATTTCTGGGTAAACTCTGCTTTGACTCACCGTCCTTCCAGAGCTCAGAGACAAACTTGTCGGTGGACTGGTTGAGCAGAGAAGCCACGTTGTCGTTCAGAGGGTCCATGTTCTTCATCAGCCACTCGTCAGCCTTGTAGTCCACCTGGAGAGACATGAGGCAGCGGTTAGGTCAAGTTATTATCGTTAGGCTCTCTCTTATGGGGCATTTACACTAAACTAGAAGCTCATTTTCATTAAAAGGCATGTGTCGAGTCTTCTTAAATTGACTTTATTAGCTTTATTAATCCATTCTTGCACAATGCTATTTTATTTCTGAAATATTTTGGACTGTTTATTTCTTGTGTCTTAGTTTCTCTTATACACATTGCCTTGTGTTTTTTATGCTGCTGCAATGCAAACATTTCCCAAATTGGGGTCAATAAAGTACTAATCTATCTGTCTACCTATCCATCCATCCAGCTACCCACCTACCCATCCATCTACCTACCTACCCATCTATATATCCATCCATCTATATATCTACCTACCTACCTACCCATCTATATATCTATCCATCTACCTATCTACCTATCTACCTATCTATCTATCCATCCATCCATCTACCTGCCTTTCTATCCCTTTCAAAACTGAAATGTCCAACTTTCAAGTGATTTGCTTTACTCAGGCTGGATTCATGTCATGCATCTCATGTGGTTAAACTGAAACGAAAAACACATTGTACAAAGGAAATAAATGCCTTTCCAAGAGTCAAAACTAATCAAAAAAAAGAGGCAAAACTCTTCAAATGATAAGCATTACATTAATTAATTCAGATCTGAACGGTTGAGGAATGTGTCTCCTTGATATCTTCCACACAGATTGTCCATCTGCGTCTCTTAATAGGCATGGCGCTGCAGGGAATTGTAGTCTTTTACCTTCCATTGACTACATAGTTTCCACTAGGCAGGTTCAAATCTACTCTGCCATCTCCTCTTTTAGAGAAATAGATTTGAAGAGGGAGATAAAGACTAAACTGGCCCAAAAAAGGATCTTACAGAAAAATGACGTTGTTTATGCCAAAACCTCAATGGAGCATTTACCTTTCCGGCGTAATGGATGACGCAGAAGTCGGCTTCATCCTTCAGTTTCTTTGGTTTGAAGAACTTGGGGTGTGTGCCCTGCTCCTGGAGAACCTTCTCCACAAAGCTCTTGTCGGTGGCTTTGGGGAACCAGCACTCCTCGTCCAGAAGAGCGAGGATACCGGGGGGGCTGGCCTGCACACGGGAGGGGAAGAGGTAGATATTAAAGCATCAAAAAGGTCTCCCATCATGCAAAATACACTTTGACGTCTCTTATACATAAACATGTGTCCCGTGTGTCAGGGAACTCACGCAGCTTCAGAAAATAAAACCCTCTCTCTCTTCCTCCGTACCCACATCTCTAAAAACGGGGGAACAACGAGTGGATACAGATTTTCGTCCGATATGACGTAATATCTGAAATGTGGACCCACGGCCCAATCAGAAACGTTGCTATCAGAAACAATGCCCGACTGTTTTGGACGTAATATGGTCGGTGTTTACATTAGCATCGCTAAAACTCAGAGCTAACCTGTACTGGAGAGAGTGTGTGTATTATGTACATAATATATGCCTATATAAATAGCATGATAGGAGATCTTTAAGTAGAAATGATGTGACACTAAAAGCAGTAAAAGAACTAGAAGAGCTTTAGAAAATTGATTTCATGTTTGAAATGAATATTTCTGTGCTTAGTCTGCCCAGTTTATTTGTAAAATATTTCATAAAAGAGGCAGCAGTGTACGTGTATTGTTTGCATGCTTTATTTATTTTAATGACTATTGCAAGTTGTCTAATGCATCTTTCTTGTCTTCAATGGTTTTTCACCTAAAAAGAGCCTTTCAGCAACTAAATGGAAGTTTGTTTCAAGTAAACTGCTGAAATAAAAGACTGAAAAGTAACAGGTGCTGTGTCATTGGAGTGGAATCCTGTTTAAAAGTTCAGTAGATGTTTCAAGTCCCTTTCAAGTGGGGAAACTGCAACATCAGAGAAGACATGACAATATCTGATGATAAAACAGGTCTTTAAGGGGGGGGGTGTGTGAGGTCTGCAGAACGTACGGGTTTCTCGATGAGGTCGATGCAGGGCTGCAGGTCCAGGCCGAAGTCGATGAAGCTCCACTCGATGCCCTCCCTCTGGTACTCTTCCTGCTCCAGGATGAACATGGTGTGGTTGAACAGCTGCTGCAGCTTCTCGTTGGTGTAGTTGATGCACAGCTGCTCGAAGGAGTTCAGCTGGGGGACAAAGGAGACACACGTTAGAGAAAATTGGTGATCGACAAATAAAAACATTACATTTTTTTTTACACATATTTGTTCATGTTAAGTTTGTTTTTCATGTATTGATATTTGTCCATGTTGATGTTACACATGGAGCTGCTGTGATGCTAGGAGCATTTCAAGACTTGATCTGACCATTAAAGTATTATCGTAATACAGTGTCAGGCACTCTACCCATCTATCTATCGATTTTAACCATCAGCAGCTAAAACACTGACATTATCTTTTTTGCAACTAATAAATGACTGCATATTTTATAAAATATTTACATATTTATTGTTATACATGCTATGACTTTTTGTATACATATCTTTATTTAATCTTTTAATTGCAATTATTTATTTTTCCTATTTCTTTAGTTGCACATTTTTACTTAACTCATGATTGTATACATATTTGTATTCTAGCGTATGAAGCATAAATAAATGAGGTATTCTGATTAGAGATAAGTGACGCCTTCTACACTAGTTTGTATGAACCTGAACAATCAAAGCATTTACAGTTTGCTTTTAATTCCTGTACCTCAAAGATCTCGAAGCCGGCGATGTCCAGGATGCCGATGAAGGACGCCCCCTGCCTCTTGGTTTTGTCCAGAGCTTTGTTGATCCTCATGACGAGCCAGCGGAACATCCTCTCGTACGTAGCTTTAGCTAAAGCCTCCACGGCGAACTCCGCCTGCTCCTGAGTCTGAGCTTTCTGCACGTAGTCTCGGCCCACCTTGATCCTCGGGGACAGGATGGCCCGGGTGAAGTCGGTCACGTTCATGCCCATCAGGTGGCTCACCTTCTGGGCAGCTGGGGCACAGGAAAGGGGGGGAAGGTTTGTTTATTTAAAGGGTGCATTTTAACAGTCAAGCAATTCAAAATGCTTTACAAAAAAGATTAAAAGCATCAAGAAAGTGCAGAAAAAAACACCGGGAGTTACCCAACCATCAGCAACCCTAACGCTCATTTTTACTTTTATCTAAATACTTAATACATACATTATTTTAAAAGTTATAAATAATTAAAACCTTTATTTCACATTTTTACTTTCATTTCTTATGTTTAAATAATATTTTTTCTTTAATTTTGAATTATTTTATGTGTATTGCATATTTTTTACTTATGTTTATCGAGATATTTTATTCTTAAATTGGGCAAGAATAGTACAAGAATAAAATGTACAGTCGAGTATAAGATAGTCATATAAGGAATAGTCATTTGATTTATTAAAATAAAAAAGTCTGATTTAAAAGTGTTTTCTGGGTTTATTGTTGAAACACTGAGGATAATAATTGAACTCAGTTTCTCCAAGTTCAGACCGAAGGAAAACAACTTGGTGGTATTGTCTTTAAGAAAACAACTGTTTCAAGTGTGACGGCCCCTCCACACCACTAGGCGTCCCGTGGTCTCTCTCTCTCTGTTTACAGGATCCGGTGTTGTGGGGCCGGCATTTACCTGATGAGCTGCACCTGGGTCGAAAAGCCTACAAGAAGAGAGCCCAACCGGATACGTGTCTCTCGCTCTCATTCCTCTCGCACTGTCCCCGTGTTTACTTTTGTGTCCACTAATAAAGGATCGTTATATTTCCATACCCCTCGTCTCACCTCCCAGCTTTGTTACAGCCCAAGAGCCGGGTTGTAACAAGTTTAACGTACCGGTGTTGTCTGGCATGGAGGCCTGGTCTGTGTGGCGCTCCTTCTTGAAGCTCATGTTCCCGAGCTGCAGCACAGAGGAGACCACCTTCAACAAGCCTGCACAAAAACAACAAACTGGAGCATTAACAAACTTTCAAGTTGCTGACATCAGCACGTAAACATAGGCAAAGTCCCACTCGGGGGAAATACAAATTCGGATTTTGATAACAAATACAGGATTTTGATTAAAAAAAAGTCCGAATTTTGATAAAAGAATTCTGGATTTTGAGATTTTAAAAAGTCTGGATTTTGAGGTTGAGGAAAAAAAACAGAATTTTGAGAAAAAATAAAGAATTGGGAGGTTTTGAGAAAAAAGTCTGAATTTTGAGGTTTTGAGAAAAAAATACAGAATTTTGAGAAAAAAATACAGAATTTTGAGGGGAAAAAATACAGAATTTTGAGGGGGGAAAATACAGAATTTTGATGGGAAAAATACAGAATTTTGAGATTTGTATGTGAGGACTACTTCCATTCTTGAGAGGATCATAAATACACGGATCCTGAGATTGAAGCTCAAGCCGGGGACCAGTGAGATTTTCCTAACAATTTGAGAGTAATTTTCCATACCGATCAGCTCATCCTCAGGGATGCTCATGATCTTGAAGGCATCCATAGTCTCCGTGAACAGGTCCTTGTCCTGCTGCCCGGGAATAGTGACGTTCCCGTTGGAGAGGAAGCGGTAGTTGTTGTAGTTCTCAAGGAGGAGGTCCTCTGAGAGAAAAAGGATGGTTGCAGTGAGTGAAATGACAAAAGACAGACGGTAAAAACCCTTATGAGACGGCCCACTTTTCAGGATTAACACTCTGCAAATACTCTCAGAAAGTAGTGTGTTCCTTACCTCGCAGTTTATCCCCGGCCCCCGTGAGCAGGTAGTAGAAGAGATGGAAGGTCCTCTCGTCTTTGGCCTGACGAATGGCACGGGATTTCTCCAACAGGTCTAGTGGTCAATAGGTCAAGGACAAGTTCTCGAATACCATCATGACTTCAAAATCGTGCTGTGATTCAGCCAAAAAAGGCTTTATACACAAGCCAACAAGTACTACGATGTCTTCTTATCATAAGAGACGCAACTTGTTTGATGGACAGTATTGGGGATATACAGTGGCAGCGCCAGGGTGTGGCTGGGGTAGGCTACAGCCATACCAAGAAATGGCTTTCCCTATGCTGCTCAATTAAATCGTATTTTTAATCGCGATTACGGCTTGCAACGATTATGAAAACAACGTAATCGAAATAAAACAATAATTTTTTTATTACTACATTTTTTTTTTTTTGGTTTTTAAGTTGAATTATACTTAAAGTTCAGGGTAATCGACTGTTAAAAACATACTGTTCAAAAAAAAATTCTCCAATAAATGGATGTTCAAAGTCAATTAATAATCGCATTTAATAATCGCAATTACAATTATTGACCCAAATAATCGAGATTATGATTTTTGCCATAATCGAGCAGCCCTAGCTTAGTCCCACCATGAAAAATGATGTTAAAGTAAGCAAATTCAATTAAATAAGCAAAATGCTAAATGTTGAGAACACGGATTGCGAAAATATACGTGTCGTGTCCACAACACAAACTGATCCTGCTGTAACAAGTGCACGTTACTGATGGTTGAGACCATTCTGGCTTATGCTAGAAGAGGGGTGCAAGGAATAGTCCAAGTAGTGAGGGAGTTTTATTCACTAACGGTGTGGAAATTCTCTCGTGTTATAATATCAGTGCGGCCGCGGTCAGATCAAAATGCCTCCGAATGCAATTTGAATAGACCTACAGCCAATCAGAGCAACGAAACGTTGGGTCTGCGTCATGCCTTACTGATTGAGATCAATCGGAACCACCATTCAGTATCCCCATTGGATCTTCAACGTGTACTATCATACGTCACGTTCACAGTGATCCTTTTTATTTACTACAAGACAAATGTGCCGTTTTATTTCATACAGTTCCATTCTGATCGAGACAGGGAAATAATCTAAACCTCACGCGTGGCGTTTGACTGTCAAGGGGAGCGATATAGCGAGTATGTAATTACATTGCAAATACTGACTTGAGCCACACCACTGTATGGGTAAGCCCTACCATAGATTACCCAACACAAATACTCTGGCGCCGCCACTGGGGATATATATAGTAAAAGTGAAAGTAGTAAAAAAGTCATCAAAGTTAGTATTTTACAAAGAAGCCAAACAAAGTCACAGCACAGTATGTAATACAAACGTTTCTAAAAAGGCTACGAAATCTCAAAGATGTTTGGATGCATTGAACATGACAGGGACGCAATGACCGTATGAAGGATACAAGTTTCAATATTGGCTCCAACGATGTAGCCATTGACATCAAAGTTGATCCTGATGAATTTTCCCTACAGGAGGCAGGAAGAACAAAGATTTAAGAATGTGTGTGTGGAAAAGTTATTGAAAAGTCTGAATCAGAACATGTAGTACTCACGAATCGGGAAGAGTTGTCGTTTTTGACGGTCTTGGCGTTTCCGAAGGCTTCGAGGATAGGGTTGGCCTGCAGCAGCTGCTTCTCCAGCTCCCCCTGGTGGAAAGGAACAGAACAGCAAGGCAAGAATATAAAGTACACGTTCCATTTGTTTACCACAAGTAAATCATAGGGAAGAGTATTAGGGCCAAGCATAAGGGAGTACAGAATGAGGAGGAAGGTTTTTAAGATGGTATTATTGAATATTATTTGGCATTTTGAGAATAAAGTCGTAATGTCAAGAGTATAGACGAATTATATTTTCAAAATGGGTTCACATTACGTCTCAACATTTCAACTTTATTCTCGACACTCAACATATTTCTCAATAACCTTCAAGAAAATAAAAACTCTTATCGTAACAATTTGACTATTCTCTAAATTTAAAAATTGAATATTTCTTGACTTTTTATTCTACCTTTCAAAATTATTATTTTTCATTTCAACTTTTTATTGAATTTTCCCATTTTATTCTTGACTTTTCAACTTTTGAAAAATGTAATTTACTTTTAACATTTGGACTTATTCTTGCCATTTCAAATTAACTAAAATGTTTTACTTTAATCTAAAAATCCTAAATCTATCTACTCCATTTCCCCTTTATGCCCGGCCCTAATGCTCTTCTGTTAAATCAGGATAATTCTCAGCAACGGATTTATCATCAGATCTTCAAGACGGATTTACTGTGAGACTCTTATTCTGGTATTCATTTATAATAACTTTAATTAATTGTAAGAAACGGATTACTTTGTTTCTTTTATTAAATAACATGCTGAAATAATAGAAATTCCCCACGATGTACTTACGTCCGAGGAGAACATGGAGTGAACAAAACATTTCAACATAAAAGGAGGGAACCATAAACACACCCGAGCAACACACAAACACACACCCAAGCAATTCCCCCACACAAAACGTCATGTTAGTGCCCAAACCTGCAAACACCCAGAGACCCTCATCAGTAACCCATCACCCAGAGAAGTGACCACCACACAAAACAAACAAATGCTCCTTCCTGCTGCAATATCACTTTCAACCGCTTCTTTCGGGCTATACTGGTTTGGTTTTAACTCAAGGTTTGCTAAGAATGTAAGCTTTGCAGATCACTCGAACATATCCAGCAAAAACATGATGACTTCAGCTAGAAATCATAAAAGGTAGTGCTTTCTGATTCATCGGTTAAGCACATGTTAAGTAGAAATGTCTGAACTACCCGAGTGTCATTAATTAGGCTTTCCAGTGTTTGAGTACAAGTTGACCTACTGAAGGCCCTAGATTATATATATTTTTTTTAAGGGTGTACCGAGGAGTTTAGAGCTTCATTCATACGGTAATTCAAATGTAAAATCAACATCTGAATGCTAATTAAATGAGTATTGTATTTGTAGATTTAGATTCCTCTGGTGGTTGTTTGTAGAACCCAGATGTTATCAAAAAAGATGGATGTAAAAAAAAAAAAAATCCAAATTGACATCAAAAGACAGTCATGATATCGTACTTTTTTTTTTTAATTAAAAAACGTATTTATGATTCTATCTGATCCTGGACTGCTCACTAAACATTTCATGAATGATTTAAATAAATAAGAAGCTGATAACAGGTGTATGTTGAACACACACCAAGCCGTTTTAATAATATGCAAAAAGAGAAAAAAGCACGATGAAACATTGGACGCACAGAGTAGCGATACAAAATGATGAAAAATTCAACCAGACAAATAAATACATCTTTGAGACCAAAACAATTGCTGTGTTTTTTCCCAGCAAAGCACCCCCCCCTTTCCTCTTATCCTCCCATTGTCTGGCTGAATTTTTCACAGGAACACATTTGGCTGCCACTGATCTGCAAACAAACTTCCTCCTTGCTTCCTATTGGCTGCCGAGACATGTCACCTCTGCCCTTCATACAAAGTGACTCCCAGCGAGGGGGAGGAGAGGGAGGAGGATGAGGGTGAGGGCGGGGGAGGAAGGTGGTGACAGAAGCAGGTGGNCCTGTAATGCACTTACAATGCGATAGCACGATATCCAAAATCTAAGACAGCAGGTAGTCTCATGTCCTGACATCGATATATTATCATTATATTACCATTCCTGGTATGGTATAATACTGAATGTGAACTTTAAAGACTTTAAGAATTTTAAGACTATATATTGTCTCTTCTCACTTTCCCGCTCTGAAACTGCGATGCTGTTGTCGGCCGGCTGTAGCTCAAGGTGGATCACTGACATTTAGCTCAATCTCCCTTTGGCATCAGGTTACTGCGGCTCACACTAAGCACTGTGCTTTAATGCTGATAAAACACAGCGGCAATAATGTTGCACACGCACACACAGGTGTGTACTTACACGTTGATAAAGCGATTAATGTAACAGTAGTTTGGGATCATTACTTGGAAGGATTATTATGTATGTATCGTGTACATTAAAGTGGACCTATCATGCTATATTTGAATAATATAGTGTAGGACCATACCTATATAAGGCATATTTATACTTTTTATTTTTCAAAATACCAAACAGATCATGCATTTTAGCCATTCCTCATTTCGCTCAATTGAACACTGTCTTTGCATGGGCTGATTCTGTGAGAACAGCACCATCTACAGGCCTGGCATATGTACTACAGCGTCTCCAGCGCTTTCCAACGGCAATGTTCGTGGCTGTCTCCTCCTGATTGGTGGAGTTGGCCCAATAGCCGTAGCGCCACTTCTGTGACGTCACAGAAGTGTTCAAATCTGGATCAGTCTGTATCAGATCCGTTGCAGCCCCTTTTTAAGAGATTTGGGTATGGAGGGAAATAGAGAGGGTTGTGTTTTCTGACACTTGGTGAGTTCCCTGGAACACCGGGGAAACATATTCATGTATAAAAGATGTACAAAAGTGCATTTTGCATGATAGGTCCCCTTTAAGTCATTTGAGCTGTGTGTGATGAGATTTTAATAGGGGATACAAAGACATAAATAGAAATAATTTTAATTCTGTTGTTATCCTTCCCCCATTAAAGTATTAGCTTTGCTTGGCTATGTCTACCTGTAATCTGATATTTAAAATGTACCATCGCTCACAGTAGGTTGACATGTTGTCATGTTCCCTGTTGTGATTGTTGACTTAAGGATATTTAAGTCCTGGGATATCATGAGACAAGAGAGAGGACACAGAAGTCCTAAAACAGGATGTCCTCTGCTGTCGACCCCTCAGTGCTCTTTAGTCCACATCATACCTCTATAAAGCTTTAACTAATACATTTATTTGTTTATTTTTTCATTGGACTTTAGTGTATATGACATGACATAACTACACAAATACGATGTACTAAGTGATTAACCAATGATCAAATAGTGTCCAATTATTATTCTGACAAATTAATTAATCGATTGTTGAAGGGAAAGATACATAAAACAACATAAACATATATTTTATAATTCCAAAAGGTCTGACCATCGTAAAACTGTTACACCTGTCAGATATATGTTCCTTTATCATTAGACAGACCCAAATGGCTACTTTTAATTGTATAACAAAGTAAATGTAATGTCAAAATGAAAATGAATCCCAATAAACTGATAAATAAATAAGGAAAAATATTGAAAAAGGACTCAAAGTATTTGCCTCCTTTAACAGGATACACCTAAACCATTGCTCGAGCAGCTTGTCAGTTTTAGAACGTGCAGAATAAGTTAAACAAAGACCACCAATGTGACATGGTTTTTAATGAATGTTAAAGACCTTGTGGCACAGCCCCAGTTGCCTAATGGATAAGGCACTGGCCTCCTAAGCCAGGGATTGTGGGTTCGAGTCCCATCTGGGGTGACATTTATAGTGGCATTCAATAGGACTAGGATCAATAAAAAAACACAAGCTACTAAAGAGTCCTGAGGCATTGCAGGTCTTGCGAGGACCTGTGCAGGCCTCATAAGGAGTGCAACATGTAAATCCAAAAACTCTGCTGTTTTTTTGGTGTTTGCCTCCTTTAACAGGATACTACTAAATCTTTACTCGAGCAGCGTGTTGGTTTAAAAAAAGAACATAGTTGATCGGAGACCCACTACGTCGCATGGTCATGCATTGATGGTTTTATAGCCCCAGTGGCCTAATGGATAAGGCACTGGCCTCCTAAGCCAGGGATTGTGGGTTCGAGTCCCATCTGGGGTGACATTTATAGTGGCAATCAATAGGAATAGGAACAATGAAAAAACATAGACTACCAAAGAATCCTGAGGCAAGGCAGGAAAGCCCCAACCGTGCATGGCTTCGTGTACAATAAGAGAGGTAAACACTGAATCAGTCTTCTTAATAAAATTGATCAGTGTCAAAAAAGACAGTCTACATATGACCAAACAAATATGTTTTCATAATGTTGTCCTGTGGAGGTCTCATACGGGGTGTTTCTCAATGTCGAGGAAGGCTGCTCCAAAGCCTCTATTTCAAGGATGCTACGTCATCGAGTCCCGCCGAAGGACTGTTCCAATGTCCAGGATGCTTGGAATTCTACCGAGGCCGGCGTCCTTCGTTGCGGGAAATTTCGAGGCTGCACATGTGTATCCTCCGCGGTCTTAAAATCCCCACTTTGCTTTGCGCACGGACCAATTTCCCAAATCGTTGGCGGAAAATGTAAGGCGGGGCCTCTCATATGACGCACACCTCCACACTTGCTAGCCTGTTCCATTCTTAGTTCTCCGAATTCCAGGAAGGATTCTTGCCTAATCTCTGAAGGACCTGACTCGGAAGACATGTCCCACCAAGGAAGCGTCCTCGACATTGAGAAACACCCAAGGAGTGCAAAATCTCATAAATCTTTACTCGAGCAGCGTGTTGGTTTAAAAAAGCTAACATAGTTAGTTGATCGGAGACCACCTATCTCACATGGTCATTAATTGTTGGTTTCTAAGCCCCAGTGGCCTAATGGATAAGGCACTGGCCTCCTAAGCCAGGGATTGTGGGTTCAAGTCCCATCTGGGGTGAAATGTTTGTATTAGCAATATGTCTGACATGGCATAGTAACCAGCCTTTACATCGGATCAAATAAAAAAATGGGCACTATCAAAGAGTCCTCTAGCCAGAACAGGACATGTTGCAATAGTCTTATGTGTACAATAACAAGGGAAATTAAATGAATCTTTTAAATAAGGTTGATCAAGTGTAAAAAAAAAGACAGATCATAGACACTCTGCGTCTGGCCGTACAATTTATGTTTTCACAATTGTGTCTTCTCTGTGGATCTGTGGATAAGAAGTGCAAAACGTAAAAATCCCAAATCTTTGTTGTGTGTTTGTTTTTTGGTTTCCATAGAGGACTTTCACACTCCCCCCCCAACCCCCCCTGAAATGATTATGTGCATAATGATTTTGAGGAAGGGGACAGTCGGTCGTGATGTAAGAGTCAGTGTGAGAGCTTGTTGGCAGGCGGCTTGGTGTGGGAGGTGGACACGCTCATCACTGTGATGGATACAGGAAGCACTTTGAGGCAGGATGATGAGGGCCAAAAGTAGCACAGCAGAGTACGCAGTGGTGTGTGTGTGTGTGTGTGTGTGTGTGTGTGTAGGTAGGCAGTGCGTATACTGCATTGTATTATTAGCTGAGGCAGGGCAGCTGGGGTTTGAAGTGCCCCACTGTAACTGTACCTATAGCAGCAGTTGTGATCCTCTGGTATAAATAGTGCGGTGGGCATGTGGGCAGGCAGTTACGACACAATGGCAGAATTTCGGTGTTCTTTCAGGGAGGTTTGAGAATGTGACACCCTGCAGACGTGGATCCCCCCCC